CAGATCCCGCACAAGAACTCTTCGTAGACATAGGACTCAAACTGCTTGCAGTCGTAGTCCTCCATCCCTTCGCAGGTCTCAATAAGAGTGACTGATTTACGGGTCAATCATATAATGAACACAATTTGAATGCTCTTATAACAGGAGGACTCTTAATATTTGCTTTTCTGAGTCTAATGTGTAAATGAGATAAACTTTCAAAACAACTCTCAACACTTTCTATCTGTTGGATATTAATTTATAGACAATAGTTTATCTCAACTAAATCTATGCATATGAGCAGTGAATTTATAAAATTCTGTACAGGGTCATCATTGCAAGAATTTCCATGTGTTTGAATATTAGTATAATAGGCATCTTATCAATGTTTAGTCCTTTATGAACGATAAACTTGTTGATTACAAGTTTATGTTAATTTTATTATAAAAATTAATATGTGTATTTTTTAAATTAAACTAATATATTATTTATATCGTATTGTCAGATTATATTTATTTAATCAATCCTGATTTTAAAAATTAAATTTAAATTTAACTTAATATTTAATTCAAAATTACTATGCAAATTGCCAGAAATGACACTGATAATTTATTCGTTGAATATTGAAGAGTATTTACCAAGTTTTAATATTAATAGATCTTAATTTAAAATGAAAATTTAATGCATTAACCAATATTATTACATCAATTAGATTAACAAATAATAAACTAAACAATTTAAACTTAGAAATATCGAACTTGATCTGGTATAAATAAAACATTTGAGTTATATTAGATAACTTATTTACAATGTATAGTACATTGATAATGAAATAAATAAGTTCACGTGAATTTTTATTATTCAATGTATTTAATACGATTTAAAAATAACAACTTTTATCAAATTGATGATTTATAAATAAATTGTGAAATTTTGTTTCATTGATAAGTTTTTACTAGAAATGACTGAACAAACTACAAGTAATGCAATGTTGACTGAATCGGCAAATAAAGTGAATGTAATCGTTGGCAATGACTCGACCCGAACGGCAACCGAATCTGAAAATCATTTGAATCCTAATCCCAATGATAGCGACAATAATGCGAAGAATGTCTTAAGAGCTGAACCAAAGAGTTTAAGTGAAAAATCCCTGTCCACTGCCACGATTATACGGGAGGCCAGGTATACATCGATTGCTCCTAAGGGTAAAGGCAAGAAGCCGGGGAAGTGTCCCAAAGTGATCACCAGTTGTGTTACAAACATCGAGAATTTATGTGATCCTATGAGGCACTGGTATGGACTGGCGTCTGTAAGTGTAGGCATAACCCTTACCATTGTATTGGTCCTAATTATGCTTACTTTCGGTGGTTATTGGAAATGATTACACAAATGATTATATAACTAAATTTTTAATACTAAATTAGTATTTTCATTAAATTCTGTAATATACAAATACATATTCATTTAATTCTGTTATACTGTATAACTGATAAATATAAAGTAAACTATCATATAACGTTTAAATGATGTTTGATTTATCTATCCAAATGAAATAGATACAATATAAGTCTTTAGTACTGTATTGAATATTTTATGTCAAATCAAATCATGACTTAATGTTTAGTAAACAGCAAAAGAAATTATTTCCGCCCTTTCAATGTTAAGAATATTCTTGAACTCTAATGAAATGATTTATATTTAAATTAAACACTCATAAAATTGATACTTAATCGTAACTATAGTTATAGTGATTTTCATAAACAGTGAATCCAATAAACAAAAGGCAACTACACTCACAATTGATTTACTTTTTTAGTAAAAATTAATGTTACTTTTATACAAACTTACAAACATTTGCTGTATTTGTCTTAAAAACATAAGTTAATGTCAAAAATGTTTTCGTTGAGATTTATTTTAATAGTGATTGTAATTTATATAAATAATTGTAAAATTGTTTCTTCAATTGAATACTTCGATGATTATGAATCAAATAATACAAGTGATGACCGATCGGCACAAAACTGTGGTCTCAGTGCTCGCGAAAAGTGCACGGAATCAATGAGGAAGAGGTTATCTACAAGACATGTCTCTTATGGCAAGAATGAGAATGAATTGTCTGAGACTTGCAAGTAATCAAAACTAAATTTGCAATATAATGATGATATGAAATAATTTGATTGCTGTTAATGTCGTGAAATGTTAGAAAAATACTGAAAGTGAAGCAATGTTTGGACAAATATGTGGACGAATGCAAGTCTATCAGCGCTCGCATCAGAGATAAAGTCGAGAAGTTGTTGAATGGACAGCAAAACCTTCACAAAGAACTCTGTGATGTAAACAGTCCTTTAAGACAAAGTTTGTAAATTTAAGATTCACTCAAAGCTATCATAACTGAACACATTATCCTTAAACATAACAGTTGTTTGATTTGTTGCAGAATATCTCAGTTATGCTCATTGTATTGAACACAACACTAAGGATACGATTCAATGCTTTAAGAACTACGAGAAGGAAATGATTGATACGATTCATGAGTTACCCCTTCAAAGCCAGAAGTTTGGGTACATTCAGATGGACTCCATTTGTTGGTCAGTTTAACTCATATTTTATTGAAATAAATAAATAATAATTTACTATTGTCTGACTACCAGTGCATTAGATCGGCATAACATGTGTACCCGACTTATACTGGAAAGTCGTTGCAATACCAGTGCGGCTGATCTGTCGGAAGAGTTGTATCAATTGTCTCGAAGTGATATCTCCGATGACTGTCGACAACGCCGTTCTCACAGACACTGCAATCGATCGCAAATCAATTTCTTCAATCTCTATGTCTTATTTGCTTCACTCGTATTCGTAAATATTATTAATAATTAGTAAATCAAAACCATTTCATCAGTTTTCAAATACGATATCCACACCCTTAAGCATAACTAGATCTAAATCATTTGATTTGAAAATAATCTATAAAACTATAAAATTACCAAAAAATGATCAGAACTTTCGAAACAGTTAATAGTTTAGAAATTTTAATTTATTATAAATAATTATTAATTAGTAATACAACTAATGATTGACTTGAGAGTTAATATAATCATTGGTGACTTGAAGAGCTGCCTCATACTGTTGTTGATTGCATGCGTACTGATTGGCGCACTTATCGCACCGTTTGGTTTGTCCAAATTGAAAGCCGTGATCCCCACCGGCGAAGAAATAGGGCATATTCTGGGGCAGTGACGGGTCTTTACCCATAATCTCCTGCGAGTCGATCAGCGGTGCAGTGATCTGTCCGCTGACCGTACGCTCGCATATCTGTTCGCACAACAGCCGCGTCATGCAGTCCGTCATATTGGCCGAGTCCACGGTCTTCATCTCCTTCTTGAACAGGTCTTTCACGAAACCCTCCACAACGTTACCAAAGATGCCATCCGAGTCCGTGTCTTGAGATAATGAGTTGTCTACACAAATGCAAAGCAACACAACATATAGTATTGATTTATCCATTCGTATGACACACACCACAGCTAACTATTAGAGTATTCACTAAACCTTTTGGTTAACTTTGGCTAAACTCACTGCAAATGAATTTCTGAGACAAAATCTTTTGGGAGAAAAAAGTGGTTTTCATTGAATTATTTATTTAATCATTTTTTTGTGTATTTTATGGTTTCCTGTGTTTTTGTGTCGAACACAAGAATTATATATCAAATAAAATAAGGCATTCATCCGAGCGTTTCGCACAAAAAAAATTATAATTGTCTCACAGTTTTGAATGTATTTTGTATAGAAATACAATGTGTAAGAGATATGTAGCTAACCTTGTCTTACTTCTAATCACTTCCTTTGGCTCACAATTCTTAACATAAAAAGTTGTTTTTATATCTGAAACTTGACAGTATCTCACAATTTTTTACACAAAGTTTACAATTTTTCATGTAATCTAATATGAAGTTTATTAATCAAATAAATCGATATTTAATACAAAATTTAGTAAATCTTTTATAAATAGAGTACTATAGAGATATTTCTTTGATAATTTTTTATTTTCATTTCATAATTATTATATAATCCAAATAAAAGGTTATAGAAATATTCATAAAGTTAATTTTATTATTAAATTAAAAAATTTAAGATGAATTTTTAACAAATTAAACAAATAGTGCGAAACTTTACAGACAAATACATGATAATAGATATCAATTTCTAAAGATGCTGTATAATTAATTTCTTTTATAATGTTAATTAAATTTTATGCAGTTTTGTTTATAAATAAAGGCATTTGCAATGATTTAATAGGCTAATGAAATTAAAATATTGTATTCATTTTGAACGTTTATAATTTTGTTTCACTGATTACATTTTTAGCAAAACTACAATTTCTTTTCAATTTTTTGGGGACATTTTGATTGGACAATAAATATAAAAATAAATAAGTTGGTATTAAAATTATAAAATCGGCACAAATTATACAAATCATTTCCCACATATCTACCGGTGCTAGAAAAAATATGACCACATTCTCGGTTGTAGTAATGATGGCATAGACTAAGACTAAGCAAATGTTTTCCGAGAATATTCCGAAGAGACCGATGATATCGATACAGATCTCCATCAAAATGTGTCCAATTGTTTGCTTTACATATCTCTCACTTATTAATAGCGTTATGTTTAATGAAAAGTCATTGAAAAATGCGTTTAAATATTGATCACTATTTGCTTGACGCTTAATTTCATAATCATTTTCCTCTTTCATGTCCTGAATATATGAGACACTGAATGATATTAAAACAATTGCCATCAAATGATAGATGAATAACAAGGTTATCAAAAAATATTTAACGGTTTTTAAGTATTTTTTGGTTAACATTATTAATATAATTACGGTAAGTTGATAAATATAATTATAATATACAGTAATTTGGCGAACAAGTGATACACAAGTTATTATAAAAATAAAATCAAACCTTTTGTTAATAATGAAAAACTCAATAATTTTGTTTTGTTTATTCAGTTTTGTTTTTGAGTTACTTTATTTATTCAGTATTCCTTAATTCAATTTTTAAAGAATATATTTAAAAATAATATCAAATTTTAATGTTATTCATATAAAAGTATTAAAATTAAATAACTAAAGCTCAAATCTATTAGAATTTAAGTTAGTTTAAGTTAAACAAAATCACAAAATATTTATATTTGCTAATATTACTTTTATTGACATCAAAACAAAATTTTTTATAATTTATGTTATTTTTATAAAATTTATAGTAAAATGTTTTCAATTTATTTTAAGAAGTAATTTGATACTTGACAAGTTATTTAAAATATTCTGTAATTTTGAATATGGTAAATCAATAGGGTTGTATTATATTTTTTGTGAAAAAATAATTTTTAAATTTGATATGGTTTTAGTTAAACTGTAGTATGAAAGGATTGACAAATATTTAAAAATAAAGGGATTAATTAGCAGTAAGAAAAATAAGTGATCAGGATCATATGTTTTGTTTACAAATTGGACATAATGTGGGCGCCGTTCCGTTCAATTGAATGCAACGCCGGAGACAATCGCAGTGAAAGAAATGCCGACACGGAGTGACCTATAAGTGAATTGAAATAACAAATTAATAGTTAGTATATCATATGAATGGTCTGAATGGTCGTACTCTAGCCCTGTGCGACATTTCCGACAAACAGACGGCACAGACGTCGTCACACTTTTCGGCCAACTCCTCGTCGGTGGCGAACCGATACTTCTCTAAACTCGATCTCTCGGCCATCAATATCTTCCAGAACTGATCCATTTCTTTGAGACATAAATAGACGTTAATATAAGACGAGGCGAGGATTAGGAACCACGACGATGAGGAGGTAAACAGCCAGACCAGGGTTATTAATATACCTGTTCGTAAATATTTAATCCTTATAATTTTATTTAATTTAAAAAGAAAATTTAATTTCTTTGATATTAGAATCTAAATTTTGGTTAAAATGGCTTTATAATGTGTATAAGACAGATAATAAAAATCTTAAGTAAATTATACAATATTTGTAATTATAATTAAAATAGAGAATAATTTTTTAAACAAAAAATATTTAAATAAATGTAATTTTAAAATATTCTATAATCCAAAAAATATTTACCAATAGTAATTCTTAAAAATATTTACTACATTTTGTATATTAGAGTTTGAATTTAGGGATTATTCTCTCCCACTCTCTATGCGTTTGTATCTAAAAATATATGACATAATAGTGACGATATTCTTTGAGTCGTTGCCTTAAGAATCGCAAACAAAATGTT